TGCTGCTAAGGATGTTAGACGAGCATATGCTACCCACTTCATAGAAGAAAATCCTCTACCGTGGCAGTGGGAGAAAGTTGGAATAATAGTTTAAATAATAAATATAAAATGATCTGTTAATTATTATTAATTTATAAATACCTAAATATTCATTAAAATTAAAAATTTTTACTCACCAAATTTGATTTGCTATTTCTTGTACTCAAAACCTCTGAAAAATAATTTGCTTCGTTAAACCAAGCAAGCTTTGGTGAATAAACTTCTTCGGTACCACTTCCACTTTTCTTGCTTTTTTCAATTTTGTGTAGTTCTTGTCTGTACACATCTTTAATGGATTTGATTCTAGCCTTCAACTGCTTTACATCCATTTCTCCAATTAACTGATTTTCATTAAGTTCATTATAAAAACGTTGGAAAATTTCATTTTTTAATTTTGTGTTGCAATAGTCTTTGTCTTTTATATTCCATAACAAATGGTACTGTTGGTACACATTAAGAGATTGTATAATATTACTTGTGTTCCACTTCATTTTAACAGTAGTTACACAGAAATGTCGATTAAAAATCGTAATATTAGTTTAATTGAAACGAAGGTACCTAATATTCACAACGGCAAACCGCCTCCGGGTAGTACACGTGGTTTTTACTCGCTAGCTAGTTGGCTACTGATTGAGTAGTACACGTTTTGCGTGTAATCATTACAATCGCACTAGCCGACTAGTCCACTTCTAAAATAGCCAACTATCAGCTTGTAAACTCACTCAATGTAATCGACGCTTTACCAAGAAAATACCTACGACATACGGGCGCATACCTGCACTCACCCATAATACACATACACAAATACAGAATAATAATATTATCTTATCTTATAGTGACAAATTTGATTTAAGGTGCGTTTCGCCAGCACTGCCAGTTTCGAATTTTAATATCAAACATCGACAGTTTATTGTACTTTTTTTGTACAATTTTGTACAATTAAAATTAAATTTTGTGCACCCCCCAAACACGACCAAAACCGTTTTTCCTATGCACGTGCGGCGTGCTGTTTTATATCCATATGTGTCTCTTTTGAGTAATGCATAAACATGTAAATTAAAATTATTAATTATATTAATTACAATAAGGCCGTTTTTAAAACTTGGCCATGCATTTACATTAGGTAATTATTAAAAAATAAATTAACAACAATAATACAGTTAACATATTATTTTATTTTAACAGTATCATTAAATAAAATAAAAATTTATAACCTCATAATTGAATTAAATAAAAATAATAACATACATTTATAAAAAAGGCAACTTGCAATAAAACAATCAATTTTTTGGTTAAAAAATGATTATTCTTCTATAGTTAAGACTGTAAACTTTTATAAAAATCATGGTATATGTTTGGTATGTAGCTATCGTCTCACAGTTACATCAGATCTCGTTTCTTATTGACTGACATTTTGTTTTTTTGTGTATAAGCTTGTTTTAATGTGTAATGAGCAAGTGATGGGTTTCTACCACGAGATTCATTAAGGTATAAATTAATTTTTTTGAATTCTATATCTGAAAAACTGGTCTTGTATAAAATTGCTTTTTTTGCATTTTTATAAAAGTATTTGTTCGCGCCGGCGGTAGCGCCATAATAGTCCGTCCACACCGACCGATCACACACACACACACACACACACACCGCGAGTTTTGTATTTATTATTTTTATGTCAATTGTGTCGTCCGTGAATTATTATGTAATATATAAATGTAGATAATGAGTTATGTAATGCAGCCGCCGACGGCTCGCTGTGTGGAAGCTTTAACACGGCCGCCGGAATCGTCAGTCCATCCCGTTACGCCAACGCCGAAAATATTACGTGCGCAAATCGCCGTGATGAGGTGTACAATTTATATTGTTTGTAGTATAATTTAATATATTGTTTCGTTAATGTTAGTGTGCGCAATTCGCCATGACCATTATTGTGTTGTAAAATTTAAGCCACGAATTGCCATACTTATTTTTATTTTGTATAAGTGAAGTCGCGAATCGCCACTTGTATCAATTTTGCCGCGTACGCTAATCGCCGCGGGCATTATATTCATTGTTGTGTTATTATTATTTTCATTATTATATACAGGATAGGTAGCAGCTGGCCAGCCGTGCACCGTCCAAAATTGTGAGTTTATTATTTATTATTTATTATTATATTTATATACCAGCCATAGCTCAAATAGCCGGCACATTATTATTATTATATCTTGTTGGGCCAGAAGGGCCACAATATTATTAGTCATATTTTTATACCTTTATGTTGCTGTGATTTTTTATATTCCTTGTGTCCACAAATAATTATTTATTTTGTGTACAATACAGCAACCATTTTTACCAGCAACCGTGTTATCCATTATTAAAATATAGAGTTACCTTTCTGTCATTATTTTATAAGCTTACACACTCTCACATCTACACACTCACACACCCACCACACACTAGCACTCTCTGGTCTTGCTCGGCGAACCCGGCCACTTCCTTTGAGTCGCTATAACATATATACACACAAACACAAGTCGATCGGTGTGTGAACGTTGCGTACAAGTATTGCGGTACCGGGCGCACGAGCTATAATTATTGTATCGTTCCCGGCGCGAACAGTATTTATATTTTAAATTAAAAAAAAAAAGTATTATTTTTTTTTTTTTAATTTTTTTTTAAATATTATAATAAGTATTGATTTTTATTTATATTTTAAATGAACTCAAAGGAATATGGGTATAAGTATTTATTATTATTTGTTTTTAATTGTTTTAAATATTATAAAGAAAAATACATTTTCCTTTTATTTATGTTGTACGTTATATTTAGATTAGTATATTGTAACTAACCATTACAACTTTTATCTTTTATCAATTGAAAATTTGTAAACATTTTAATAATAATAATATTTTGATCTTGTATATATTATTAAATATAATATAATAATTATCTTAATATATAAAATGGTAAGGTCCCGGAGTCTTTTCCTCCCGGAACGAAAGACCACTATTTCTTTTCTTCCACGAGCGTTCGCTTCCGGGCCAATGGGAGCGCGAAAAAATATCGCGGCTTCGTCGTTTTGAAATATCGTCTTCGCCTCATCGCCGGGATTGTTTCAAAACTTTTGCTTTTCGAGCTCCGTTCGCCTTTCTTCGTGCCCCATTCTCACACTTCGAAATCGCTTTTACAGACAGAACCAAAGTCGTCGAACGGAGCCTTACACTTACTGTTTTGTCCTTCTCTCGGTTAAATATATCGAATGAAACAGGACTGTTCTTCGACGGTCAGGTCCATATCGATCGTATAATTCTGTGACTGTGGAACGTCCGGTTGCGATATATTAAATTAAAAATTATTGGGCGATTTCGATGAGATCAACACACAATCCTGTGGTTGGATTTCAAGAAATCTACTCGAAAACCCAAAATATGTAATATGTAATAAATAAAAGACAATATTTTAGTGCTCGATGCTGTGATATAATATCGGATTTCACAATTAATACACTCTGAGTTGAATGAGTACGTTCAATTGTATATTGCTTATATATTAAATAAATTAACTATTTATTTGATGCAGAACCGTATACATGTGTACTATTACGCATAATAATAGCAATACAAATATTTTAGTTTTTTTACAACAACAGAAATTGCTATGTATTTACATCTATTTTGTTAACTATATGCAATAAAAATAATGGCCATATCCTACGGATTTCATCGGTTAAACATTGCTTATTGCAGTATTCGCTTATGAATACAAACGGCTTAAATGCTCAAATTTTTCCGTCTGTCAGCATCTGAGTAGGTGTCCCGTAGGTTTAGGCGTTAGGTTAAAGTCGTAGGGTAGGCGAGTTCGAACCCCGGCGGCGGATATATCGACGCCGTCGTTACTACGGCAGCCCTATACTGTAGCATGGCCGCCCGGATTTTTTGCATTTTTTTTCCGGTTTTTTTTACATGATTTTTCCAAGTTCCAATGATTATTTCATTGTTATCTCCATTATTATTGTAAACATAATCTTCGTGGTGCTTACATTATGAAATAATTTCAAAAATACTTATACCTACTACCGTCTATCCGTATGATTAGAATATCTTTGGTTTATCATGCCGAATATCATTACCTACTTGCGATCTTCATTTTCTATACATTATGTGTGTATAATGTAGGTAAATACAACCAATTAGTTGAGTTTCACTCATAGACTCTGAACGGAGGGTCTGCGATCCGACGAAGTCGGATTGCCTACGTAGCTGGCTAACTTGAATGTTAAACGATTTTCACTTGAGGTGACGGACTTGCTAGACATTCCAACTCAGTTTTCGAATTTACATTTTTATTACATACGAAAAAGCAAAGGACATGCGACGGGGAACCGTGTTATTCAATTGCCGATTTTCGTGGGTGAAGTGAAATTTCAAACATTCCCGCGCTCGAAACGAGATCTCTAAGACTTATCAAAAATCGTTATCACCTCCTAAATTTTTGTTTTTTAACTACCCATGACGTCAACAGGAGTGACTTCTAAAAGTAATTTCAACGACATTGACGTCTGCATCGCCGACTCTCACAAGCTCCCGAGTTTCAGGACAGCGAGTTTCACAAGCAACTAGTTATTAAATAAAGTAAATAGTAATAATAATAATAATAATAATAATATGATGTATTATATAAAAAAAATACTATTAATTATTGAATACATAATGTTTAATATCAAGTATGTAAATACTTAATACCTATTGAAAATAAAAATGCTTCGAAACTATTCATTATTATATGTCACATAACCTTATAACATATAACTTATAACTTATAAGTTATATGTTATAAGTTATAAGTAATCAAAAAATACATACTAAAAAATATTAAATAACAATAGTTAAAAGATTTTCTAATTACTTTATTCTGCCAGCTTAAAGCGTGACTAGGATCATTAACATATTTAACAAAGTACTCCCTCACATCTTTGGCACTAGTTAAGAATTGTCCACTCCTCTTCTTTCAGTTATACGCTCCAGAGGACAACTGAGAGTGTGTTTGATATTATATCCGTCCCGACGTCGAATAAAATTATGTAAGACACACCATGCCTTTGTGATAGTAGTAGCCATAGTAGGATCAACTAAAATGCTAGTTTGGGAAACTCTCCATTTTTGAGATAAAATGCCAAAGGAACATTCTATTGTTTGTCGGGCCCTTGATAGTCGGTAGTTGAATATCCTTCTTTGATCATTTAATGCCCTACCAGGAAACGGTCTTAACAAATTGTTATGTAGGGCGAAAGCTTCATCGCCCACAATTACAAATGGTTGAGGTTCACCAAAATCATCACCTGGTAAATTGTTATCTGGAGGAAAATTAATTTGGTTTGAATACAGTTTTTTCCCGAAAGACGATATTTTGAAAATGTTGCAGTCGCTTTCTTTTCCATAAGAACCAACATCTATTATTCGGAAACAATAGTTTGAATCACAGACTGCTATAATAATAAGTGAATAATATTGTTTTTAGTTATAATATAGTGTCCCACTATTTTTTGGACATTCCACCCTAATGTGTTTGCCATCAACAGCTCCAACGCAATTAGGAAATTGTGATGTTTTAAAATATCCATTTGATATTTCTAGCCAATCTTGAGTAGTAGGTGCTGCCATTTCAATGGGTTGCAATATTTGCCAAATAACATCACACGTTTCCAAAACTATTCTGAAAATTGTTGATACACCCATTAAGAACTCAAAATGTAGCGCCGTAAAATTAGTTCCAGTAGCTAGGTATCTAAAAAGAGAAGCAGTCAAATTTTATATAATTTTAGATTAGTTTTTGAATTGCAATAAAATATGAAAATCGCTAAATGAAAAATATTGAGTGAATATCCAATATTGTAATAATTCGGACTTCTGATTAAAATTTTAATTTGACATTCCCGTCGACATTTTTAATTAAAGATAGACAAACTTATAAGAAGGTAATCTAGTAGGAATCTTGTATTACATTTTCAAATTTTCATTTTCAAGATTTAAAAAAACAAAATTTATGAATTTCTAACCCAAAATAATTTGCGCATTTTCGTCATTTTTAGGTATTTTATCAAAAGCCAAACTTTAAATGCTTGTAAAATTGTGACTATGTTTTAATAATTTTAAAATGTTGTTTGTATAGTAAAAAACCGCGAAAATGTAATCCAAGGCGCCTGGTATATTGTTAATATAGTGGTTGAAAAATATTGAAAATGCATAAGCACAATTTTTTTTTATAAGCATTTAAAGTTTAAATTAAGCAAAATTTAAAATTATTTTGTAGTTAAAAATTTATAAAATGTTCAAATTTTATAGCCAAGGATTGAAAACAAAAACACAAAAACACAAAATAAAGTGATGACTAATTTTAAGTCACTAGTATGTGTAAACTTTTATCAGGCCTATTTTACAGAACCCTACTTACGAGTAACGAATCAGTATACAATTATTATAAATATATTATTTTACCTTATCGTCACCGTTAACCTTTCTTCAGGAGTTATAGACATACGCATATTTGTATTCTGTTTTTGTATATATTTTCCAAACAGCAAAATCTAGATTGTAAAATACATTGAACTAAATTAAAAAAACTAAATCCATTGAGTTTAGTAATTTAGTTACTATTTATAAAATATTGTATAGAATGACTTAATATTATTATTTTTATTAACTTACTAGTGTATCAAACGACGTTATTGACATAAGAAAGTACTTAAAAAATTCTTCAGGATATTGCCGAAGTGTCAAAAATGTGACTTGATATTGTCCTTCTTCAATTCTCTTCATATTTAATGGGTGACCCAATGCACTCTTTTTATGTTAGTTTTTTTCTTTTGTAATTGACCTCTTTTATGCAATGCGTAAATTATACTAACGTGTTCAATAGTGTTAAATGTTTCCATTTTTTGTAAAAAAATGTAATGACCAAACTGATAAAATAATATATTTTGTAAAAATAAATACAGAACGACTGCAAATGAACACTAGGTACACTGAACAAAATATCCCTGTATTATCAATAAAAATCTGGTTTGATTTAACAATATTTTGATCAATATACAGTCAATGAAAAACTTTATTGATTAAGAGATAAAACTTTTGTTAATTCAACAAGTTACAATTTTGTTAAATTGACAAAATGGTTTTCTTGAATCTACAACACCATTTTGTATTTTTAGTTTGATATTAATGAAATGTTTTTGTTGAATTGAATAAATTGTTTCTTGAATTTACAATACCATTTTGGATTTTTAGTCTGATAATAATGAAATAATTTTTTTAAATTGACAAAATAATTATTTTAAATCAACCAAATATAATATTAAATACATACATTTATAAGTTGTATAAAGTGGAGGAGTTTAGGAAGAATAGGTATTCAGCAAATATGTTTTTTGCAAAAAACAAAACAAAACATTAAATTATTTTTGATTTATTCATAACACCCAGTATATAATACATTATGCATACAATTAAGATTTTAATTCATTTATCACTTGTTTAATCAATACATTCGATTTATCATACTTTGTAGTTATCTTAAAAAAAAAAATTTGTATAAATAACCACACATCACTTGACTCTATTGGATACTCTACATTGAATACGTGAAAAATCTTAAAACAGATGTCAAAGGCTTTAATGGCTGAAAACATTTTATACTTAATGTTGTCAAAATATACAAGTATTTGCTTTGGATCAAATAGTGTTCCAATAACTAATATATAAGGCTGGATTGCACCCATCTCAGACATTTTTTGGAGTGTAGATTCCATGTCCACAGAAGTTGGTGACACAATTATAAATGAGTTTTGTGAATCTCGAATACTGTATTTAGTAAAACCTTTTCTACCATTTTCATCACGAGTAGATTTTTTCGATGAAGGAATGAATACACAGTGTAATAAATACATAATAACCAGTACTTTTGAATCTGAAAAATGAATAATTTGTTATAAAACATTTTTCCATTTTATAATTAATATAGCACATAAATAAATATTAACAAAAACAATTAAGTATGATATTGCCTAATGATTGGCTACCCTGATATTTGTAGGCAGGTACTAAATAATGTAGTATGTTTATAGATAGGAATCATATATTAAAATATATATAAATCATATATTTTTTGTTCTATGGAATATTGTAATAATACAATGCTTATTAAATATTGGTATAATAGTACCTACCTATTGGAAATGAATTGTTAATACATGCTTTTTAGATTTTTTTCAAGTATAAACAATATCTAATTTTAACAGTTCTTTAGTTAGTAAGATTTTAAATAAACTTCATTAATCATTTAATCTTAAATAGGTACAATGTATATTTTTATACTAATAATCTTGCAAATATTACCTGTTGTCAAATCGTTAAGTGTATTATTGAATGTTGTCAAAGTTTGTCTGTTAGCAGGGTCTTTTACTCTCTCCTTCAATACTTCAATGAGTTTATTGCACGATTCTTCAAAAGTTAAATTAAAATTTGAGTTGTCTGTGTATAAACTTAAGAAATCAATATCAACCTAGAAATATCAATAAAAAATGCAATAATGATCTCTAAAATACTAATAAAATCATGTTATTGTTTCAAGATTCTTCTAAAGTGTGTCTAGTGAATAACTCAATTTCGCAAAAATGTTGCCAACTATTATAAAAATGAAATAAGATTATAAGTATAATAAATACATTTATTTAATGCATATTTTGTATTATTATTCTATCATTTTTATTTTTGAATCTTGATGTTAATATATTATTAACTTTAATGAGTAATATATATAAATATATATTTTTTTAATTATTATTGAAAAATTAAGCTATATGCTACAACTTATTTCAGCACTGGGGTAGTGTAACAAAAAAAATTACTTTTATTATTCATTACTAAAAGCCTACAATGAATATTAAGAAACTTTAGGCAATATTTTCTATCCATTGCTAAAATAGAAAATATTGTTGGCGTAAATAATTTTGAGGTAGTTATACGCACAAAAAGTGTTAAAACATGTATGGAGTGTTTCCTTTATCTTATATTATATTAGTTTATTAGATTCTATTTAAAACCTTACAAGTTTATATCCCATCGGCATAGTATAATGATTCCATTTCTTGAATATTTCTACAGCGTTGTTTTCTTTGATAAAGTTCAGCCGAAAGTTGATGGTTTTCCTCCAGATATCTTCTATTTCAGGCCAAGTCAAATCTTTGTCATATAAATATGAAGATATATTTTCAGAATCAGGTTCATTAGCTGTATAAATAATTATTATTAAAATGATTGGCAAAGAATTTTAAAGAGGGTAGTTTGTTATGCTACAGCATAGCTATAGACTATAGTTAAACACTATCTATTCCTACATTTCATAATCTTTACTCCATTTTTCCTTTTTCCTTCTCAGTTATATTTTATTTACTAACCACTCAAACTATTCTACTACACTATTTATCTCAGAGAAATTCCACATCTAACATTTAAGAATAAAATACAAATTGTTACATACAATATAATATTATACATTACCAAGTAAACGATTGTTTTTATCCATAGTTCGACATAATATGAGTTTTGAAGACTTTTCTTTGGGAATTTTTGATAGTAATCCACTTTGCTTCATTGATCGAATAGTATTAAAATATTTTGTGTACAATTTACCTTTTGGGGAATTCATTGCATTTTTAACAAAATATATATCCTATAATAAATCACAATACAAATTTATTTATTTAATAGGTTTATTATTAGCCAGGTTAGACTTATATTATTACCTTGATTTCAGAATGAAAAGTTCCAACAATTGCATTGGCAATAGAATTTGCCAATGCAACTGTCATTGTAGAGCCATTTTTTATTATATCAGAAATGATTATCTCCACTAACATATTACGACAACTTTCATTTAAAACATTATGTTTTGTATAGTAATCCAGAATTAATGACCCATTCGGATTACTTGTTAAAACACTCTGCAATTTAAATACTGTATTTTTAGATATGTCATTTTTTGTATGGGATATTTGACTAGTAATGTTTTGAACAGTAGATAAGTTATTGTTCAATGTTGGTGATTCCTTATTTATTGTTAACGATTGCTGATATTTTTTAACACGATATTCAAATTTGATCTGTATGCCTGGGGTAAAGCTTCCAAATCGATTTGTTTTTCTAAAAATATTAAAGTGAAACATTTAGTTGAAACATGATATTTTAAATTTTAAAAATTTTACCAATGCAAGTTGTGTATACTGATTCTAAGTTCCATTCTGTAAGCAAATTCATCAACTCTTCATCATAATGATGATCTGAAAATGGGCTGTGAAGAGATGGAGTTGTGAAATTTTGAGAGGAATTATTATCACATATAATATTTGCTATTTGAGAGGAATTTATATTCATGATAGAATGCTTATTGGTTAAATCTGCAATGCTATAACTAAATTCATTTACACCAAATTCATTAACTGAGTTGTCCATGTTGATGTACTAAAATATGTAATAAATGTTTTAATAATGTACACATATGAAAAATTATTTAGGATATAAGTAATAATGAAGACTGTTAAACTTCAAAATAATATTTCTATTAAATTAATTAATATATTTATTAAATTCAACAATAGAATTAACCTTTTTTTAATCATATTTATGGTTTTTATAGAACTTAGCTTATACCAATTTTATAATTATTTTTAAATTAACTAACTTTGCTATTGGGGTATGTTTAAACAAAGCATAATTGAGCAATTTTTAACATGATAAAAATAATGTACAAAGTTATTTTATTAGTATAAACACTTAATTTATTAATTTTGTCATTAAAGTTTATAATACATTTAAGAACCTATATTGATAACCTTTTTTACAAATGTATCTTTTTAATTATTTAAATAATATTTAAAAAAAATTAATAATAAAACCAAAATACATAATATGTTCAAATCTGCTTCTACCTACTAAATATACTTATAAAATTAAAAAATAACAGAAAAAGATAGAAAATAATAATAATAATACTAATAATAACTAAATAGTACCAACTAATATTAATATTAATCTGAATAATACTCTTTTACCCTCAACATTAAATTACCACTAACAGATTCATTTATATTAACTGGTGGTCCATTACAGGTATCTGGAGTCAGAATAGTTTTTAATATGATGCTCTTTGCTTTATTTACTTGGTATGCTTTTAAATGAGAGTTAAAAAAATCTATCTCAATTTGTTGCACAATAAACTGCACTTTGAAACTAGCTTTAACTATAATAATTTCTAAAATCTCATATAAACATACTTCCTCAATAAATCTCGTTAAAAAGTAACCTATTTTGTAGGTAGTACCTTTAAATTGAATTTGTGAGTAACATAAAAATTGGTCACTTGTTAAATTTAAAACTCTTAAAATAAGTTCATTGTGATTACTACCTTTAATATGGATTTCATTAGTATTTATTTCATTGATTATCATAGGATTAGAATTTAAAATTTGATATGCATATTTGTATTGGAATTTTTTAGCCAAAGATAGGGGAATATTTTTTCTGGACGTTATTGAATGTGCATATAATTTCATTTCTTTGTGTTTGGCTTCAAACCTAAAATACCAAAAATGTTTAGGAGGACCAGAATTCTTTATAATAGTAGGATAATGCACTAATAAATGGTGCTTAGGCTTTAAGGTATCTTTAAACAAAGAAACGTATTCAGAGTTATGCTTTTCTATAAGTCTCTGTAAATGCAATATTGACCCATTAGAAAACTGACTTGAAAGTAAAATTTCAAT